GTTTTAGCTCTAGGAAAATGTGAAAATATGCAAAAAAATCTGGAAAACTACCAAAATGTTCTATTTCATGTCTAAACACATTTTAGGAACTTTCCACAATCTAAATGTGATATGCAACCAACACAACATATATTAATGTTGAATGCATTCATGCCGGCTTCATCTCAAGTTTTTATTGTGAAAAACATTTAAGATGCAATTAGATATCAATTGGAATATCTTGGTAGTTTTCCAGATTCTTTTGGATATTTTCCAATTTTCCTAGAGCTAAATCAAAATTTTAAAAGATTCTAGAGATATTTTCACAAGATATAAATATATTATTTGGGTTTCTCGTGTCCTAATCCATATTTAGTATTTTTTTCTCTAAATTTTTATAAGCTTAGAGATATTTTTCGTGGTTCAAAAGCCTCATTATTTACTGGATTTATTTTTAAACTAAAAGACAAAACCACCTATAACCGGGTCAGGAAGGTAAAATGAACGGTTTCAAAAGTTAAATGAGGTGGTTTACCCGGTTTTAAAGTTCAGAGAGAAAAACTAGACTTTGAGGATAGTTGAGGGAGATAAATAGACTTTGAGCAAATTGAGCCTAGCCCACGAGCCTAATGGGATTTAGCTCACTCATGAGCATTAGTAGAGAAGGCCTAGACTCAGCTCTCGATGCCTAGAAAAGGAATTCTCGGTTCGAGCCTAGCACGAAATATTTATTTTAGCTGTTCTACAGTATATATAAACCGTGCGAACGGTCCATCGGGCCTAGGCCTAGCCCAAGCCTTGCCCGAAAAAAACAGACCCGGCTCGTCCGTGGGATGGTCATGAGTAGGATATTTTGGCATAAATAGCTGGGCTTTTTTTTTTGACTCGGCCCGAGCCTGACCTGGCTCACAAAATGCTCAGATCAACATGACAATGTACGGTTTAAAGAAAAGACATGCAAAACAATTAAAATGAACAGGAAAACACGAACGGAAAAACACTAGAACGTGAAGTGAAAAGAGAAAAACACAAAAAAAAGGCATGGAAAAAATTAAACCAAAAAGCTAAGGAAAATGAAAAAAAACTGAAAAACATAAAAAACCATAGTACTTGGGAACGGACTCCCCGGACATGAGTTTGTGCTCGGTAGACGCAACCAAAAAACATGAGAAAAATTAAAAAATAATAGAAAAGGATGAAAATTAAGAAACTTTTCGTGCTTTAATATTTGGGGTAGAATTGTAAGCATGTTCGTGTTGTAAGGCCACCCAATATATATCAGAAATGCTCCTACAGGGGCGTCCGGGCTGTTTCATTTTTGTCGAATGCGTTTTAACTAGACCACAACCCATACAATCTATGAACCGCCCAACATTCTCCACCTTACTTCCTCACTGCCGGCTTTTCCTGCCTCATGTCCTTGGCTGCCCGTGCATGTACTCTTTCTTCCCTCGCCGCTGCACCCACTCGCCTTCATGCATTGCCTCTGTGGCGCACCGTCGAGCTCCATGCATGCACCACTGAGACGGTGAGCCTCCACGATGGATGTTCCAGCAAGTAGACGAGGGGAGGAGCTTTGTGTGACCACGCCCAACCGGCGAGTTGCTCGCGCCACTGTCGCTCCGACGAGCTCCGAGACGTCGCGAGCTCCGTGCGCCATTGCCGACCTCCGCGCCAGCGTCGAGCTCTGCAACGACGAGCCTCCATTCGTTCCAGTAGCAAGGTGACATTGCGTTGAAAGCGTATATATCAAGTGTTTCATCTGTTTTCAGACGTACGTTGCAAGTGTTTCATCTGGATGTTGCATATACATGCATGTTTAAAGCGTATGTTTCAAGTGTTTTATGTGTTTCATATGTATGTTACAAATGTTCAATCTGGATGTTCTATATGTTTTGCAATAGCTACACACGTGTTTTTCAGATGTTTCAGATGTATGTTGCAAGTGTTTCAACTGTTTCAGATTATGTTGCAAGTGTTTTATCTAGATGTTGCAAAAGTAGATATGGTGTTGCACATGTTGCAATGGGACCCATCTGCAGCAGCAGCCTGATGTAGCTCTTGGGCCTATGTGCATGCGCGTGGGAGCGGAGGTTGCGCGAGCAACAGGCCAGGGAAACCGAGTGGGCGCAAACGCAGGCGCGGGAAACGAAGCGGCATGGGCCCCCATGTGAAGCAGGCGCATGTGTGCAGGCAGGCACGGGCAAGCGAAGTAGGCTTTGGCGTCTGCGTCCATCCAAACGTCCGGGCGCTAGGATGACCGAATATATATTGGAATTGGACTGCGTATGCTAGGCGGAAGTTGTTCTAACTCATATCAGCACTGCTCATTGGTTCAAGTCACATACAAAATACGGAGGACGCAGCCAAGTAGATCTTGGAATCCGATTTTATATCTATCATTGCTAGACGCAATTTTCTAACTCGTACCCATATGAGCACGTGTCATATGAGTCATACATATGAGACACAAGAAACTCTTCATTATCCGGTAGTTAGGAAAGGTGGGCGCAAAAAATGGGATAAAATTTTGGCTCTTTAGTATTAGGTAGGTATTGATATATATAAAACATTATCATTGCAAGTGGAAATGTAGATGTGACACCGGAGTACCAGACCCGTCCAAAAGAAAATAAGGTAATAGCCATTAATTCTTACAATACCTCAACAAAGAAAGATCCAACAAATAGAATATATAATAGATATATCTAAGGCAAATATATGTAAGGAAGAATTATAGAGCTCAAGCATCATGTACATTAAGCTATTCAGGTAAGTGATCACCTATAGGCATGTTGACCATTTTCAGTGAGCCCATGTTCACTGTTTTGAAAAATTACTGAGTCGTTACTACTCCATTCTCTACCAAATGAGATCTGGTAAACTTGATATACGAATCCCTAATATTATGCATCTCAATGGCTGCGTCCTGTATCGGGATTCGCTCTCTAGGTTGTTTCTTAGAACAGGATATTCCTAGAGTAACAACAGAAACCAGACAATTCAGAATTTTACTTCTTGTAGTGATGTTATAGGTATCTCTGTGCGCCTGTATCGTCGGATCAGTAATCTCCCATATCCTCTCTGGAAGAGCGTTCTCTGAAAACTTGTGCAAATCCAACGAGTCGCTGAATATCTCATCTGTTGGGCTCCTTCCAGTAAACATCTCGAGCAGCAATATGCCGAGGCTATAAACATCACCTTGGGTTGAGACAGAAGAACCTTCACCATACTCTATGATTGCAACAAGAAAAAAGTCAATGTCCCGTGTTCATAAATAAAAGAACTAGGAAAAATGTACAAGTAACAAAAGTAACTATTTCAAAATTTCAGTTACCTGGTGCAACATAACCAATGGTGCCTTTTATTCCAGTTGTGCTTGTTGAATTTTGCAGTGTTGTACTAGCACATTCTGGGAGGATTCTAAGTCTCCAACTCAGGCACTCATGTCTTCTGTAAGAAGGATGTTGCTTGGCTTAAGATCGCAATGAATGATTGGTGGCTGACAGTGATTATGTAGATAGTCCAAAGCATCCATGATATCGATGGCAATATTTAGCCTTTGTTCAAGGCTAAGAGTATTTGTCTGAGCAAGTGTTCGTGTGTTAGACTCTGGGTGGAGCCAACCATTTAGGCTACCATTTGGCATGAACTCAAAAACGAGTGCCTTAAAATCTTGACCTTGGGGGTTGATGCTTGAGCAACAAGTGATGATCTTTATAAGACAACGATGACGGACCCTACTCAGCGCCTCACATTCAGCCACAAAACTTCTAGAAGCCGAACGTTGATGTGTTTAAACACCTTTACAGCTACTATAGTTCCCTGATCATCATGTAAAGTACATTTATAAACCATGCCATAGCTTCCTTGTCCAAGCAAATTGGCCTCTGAAAACCACTGGTCCCATTCGATATGCATGGTAAGAAACTCTTTCATGCGGTTCCTCAATTGTGGATATGAATTGACTTTCATGCCTTTTTCTGAGCTTCTTGTGCATCAACTGAATAAGAATCACCACTAAAACCGAGCATACAAGTGCACTGATTGATGCTAGGGAGATGATAAGGGATTTGGACAAATGCCTGTTTTTCATTTCTCTAGTAGACATGGAGCATGAAGCTAAATGCAGTTGAGGTATTCCGCCACAAAGCTCTCCATTGCCATAAATTGAAAAGTACGTTTCATTTGCAAAAACACCCCTTTGGCACTTCACCTTGCAGATCATTGAAAGACAGATCCAATTCATACAAGAATGTTAAATTCTGTAAACCTGAGGGTATCAAACCAGACAGGTTGTTGTGAGCTAGATACAACTCTTTCAGGCCACGAATACTACTAAGGGCATCAGGAATGGTTCCAGATAGCTTATTCATTGTTAGGTTCAGTAGAGCAAGACCCTTCAAATTTTCTAGAGATTGAGGTATGCTTCCCACAAACGAGTTCTGGCCCAGTTTAAGCTGTTCCAACGATATGCATTTCCCAATACTAGTTATCTGGTATGCCGCCAGATAACTGGTTTCCTGACAGATACAAGTTGTTAAGGTTTGCCAAGCTACCAACTTCAGTAGGAAGACAACAAATTGTATGATAAATCTAGGTAATCGGAAAGTGCAGGAAGCTTTAAGGCCTCTCTGGGGATTGAACCATTGAGTCTATTGTTTGACAGATCAAGGCTATAGACATTCTTTAAGTTCCCTAAGGTTGCTGGAATTGGCCCCTCCAAGCTTACATTATATACAAGAAGTATGTTTAACTGCGTAAGATTTCCTATTGACAAAGGTACTAGGCCTGACAAGTTAGTGTTGTAAAGTCCTAACACGGCCAAGTTTTGTAGGTGACCAATACTCTCTGGAATCACTCCGGATATAGAAGTATTGGCCATAACAAGAACTTGCAGACCAACCAAATAACCGATACTGGATGGAATAAACCCAGAAATCCTGTTGTCGCTTAAATCAAGATACTGGAGGGTTGTCTACAGGTTTGTGATTGAGCTAGGAAGTTTTCCAGTGAAGGAGTTATTGAGAAGAGTCAGTTGCTGAAGCTGGCTGCAGTTTGCTAGCTGAGTGATGAATTCCACCCCTCCGTGTCATTTGCTTCCAGCTTGTTCCTTCCAAGTACAGAATAACGAGACCTTTCAGTCTCCCAAAGGCAGATGGAACGTGCCCAACAAAACTATTTGTCGAAAGCTGAAGGTTTGTAATAGCAGAGAGGTTGGAGAGTGAAGGCGGGATGGTTCCATGAAACTGGTTGACAGCAAAGTCCAGATTTTCAATGTTATGCAACCTATCGCCAATATTACTAGGAATGGTTCCAGACAAGGAGTTGTTAGCTACGACGAGAGCTTGCAGCATGGACAGATTGTAGAGAGAGGATGGAAGCTGACCTGAGAGGTTGTTCTCGAAGAGATAAAGGAAGCGTAGGTCTCCCATGCTGCCAAGTTGAGGTGGTATGGGTCCCTCGAGCTGGTTTGTACCTAGATCAAGATAGTTTAGAAGCGACATGTTGTCTAGTGATACTGGGATATCGCCCGTGAAGCTGTTCGTTCTCAGTGAGAGCTTACGAAGGTTTGTGAGCTTCTGACCGAGCTGAACAGGAATACGGCCATGGAGCTGGTTGTGGCGGAGGTTCAAGAGCAGTAAGCTACTAGCACAGAAGCTTAGGTTTGCAGGCAGTTCTCCGGTGAAGGTGTTGTAGCTCAGGTCAAGCGCCTGGAGATGTAGCAGGCGGCCGATGCTTGCAGGGATATTCCCCTGAAACGCATTGGAGGTTAGGTTCAGAGTTCTTAGGAAGGTGAGGTTCCCAATGGCCGGGGACAGGGTGCCCGTGAGGCCATAGGAGGGTAGGGTGAGCGCCACCACCCGGCGATGCCTAGCCCCGCACCTGACCCCCTCCCAGCTGCAGAAGCCGCCAGCGCTGGTGCTGTTCCACTTCCACGAAAGGAAGCAGCCGGTTGTGGTTGTGGTGGCCGCCGCCGATCGCCGCGGCCTTGAACGCCAGCAGTGCGGCCCCGTCGCCGGCCGCTTGTGCGGCCACGGCCACGAGAATCGACATGGACGCGGAGGCGTATAGGTATAGCAGCTGCAAGATCAGTGAGCGCATTGCTACGCCGGATGCTTAACTTGCTCAGGTCAGGAGTGCTTGTTGGCCGATCGATGACGATGGGTATGTGTAGTGACCAGTGAGTGGTTTTGGGTGCTTGCGTGATGGTAATCCCTACTAGTACTTATAATACTTATATATATCGTGGTGAATATAATCCATCCCGTGACGGCTACGTACTATATATAATGTGCGCGGCTGCCAGATTAAAGTGTATACAGTGACCTGATCAGTCAGTATCCGATCGACAGGCATGCATTAATTTTCCACGCACGCCTATGCACCATGCCTGGTCATCCCCCACTATAACACACAAGAGCAAGGAGGACGCACTTCGTTTGTTTCAAAAGCAGGACGCACTTCGCTAGTGCGGTCGGGAGTCGGGACTCGGGGAGTGCGTGGACGATGTTTCCGGCAGGCAGCTGCCCCACATTTTTCTTCTTTCCAGGAACGTCTCCAGCTCTCGATTATTGCCTCACAACTGAAAAGACTATACACGGTCAAGCCCAGCTTAGGTCAGCTGCCCGACATTTTCCTTTGCGGGAGTTGTATTTCACATAGCGGTAGTGTCATATAGGAGTAGTCAGTAATAGGCTAAATTATTAGCCGTGCTTCTATGTGATTGCTCCTAGGGTAACGATAGCGTTGGAAAAGGACAGGATTATTACCCAGTGGCAATGCTCGGAGGTCACCCATCCTAGGTTTTGGTGATCATTGGATTGGATGGGTCAAAGAAATTTTTGCCTCCGCCACCTCCTGAGTTTTGCTCAATGGTGTGCCCGGTAAAACTATACATTATTGCAAAAGAGGTGTTAGGCAGGGAGATCCACTCTCCCCTCTCTTATTTGTTTTAGCAGTGGATCTGTTAGATAATCTACTGCTACCTTGTGTGAACACAACAAAGGAAGGCGCCGCCGAAAGGCCCTCTGCTGTGTTACTGTAGCCGCTGCAGGTGCAGGCGCCGCACGGCTCACCTGTAGCACTGTAGGCACATGCAGTGACCAGCGCAGAGTCAGCCCAGTATGTTATCTAGTTCTTGTAGTAGCATGGCAGCTGTACTATGACTAGAAGGACAGAGTTGTATAAATAGGATACCACGGCAACTCAGTAAAGTTTGCCATCTCAGACACAGGGCTTCGGCCAACGTTGGTGTCTTGTATTGTGTGTGTATATGCTCTGTTCTCCCTTCTTCTTCTAGCTCTAGCCATAGTGTGTGGGACGGACAACGCTTGTTCATGGTCGGCACGGCTAGTGGGTGCTCGACAAGACTGGTGAGTGGTTAACTCACCTGAGACGATGATCCTATGGGCCAACAAGTGGTATCGGAGCCGTACAAGCGTCGTCGACATACTAACCGCTAGCGATGACGGGCGATTTGGAGATGGGCGACAGCAGTGGCACTGTTGTGGCTGCCCAGCCACGACCGGAGGTCGTTGTTCGCATGGTGCAAGAGGTCAGCGGCACCAGTTAGCCGACGCTGACTCGCACCAACTATGAAGAGTGGTCGGTGACCATGAAGGTCAAGCTCAGAGCCCAACGGCTCTGGAATGCTGTTGACAAGGGCACCAACTATGAAGAAGATGACATGTCAGCGTTGGGGCCTATCCTCGCTGCTGTACCGGCAGAGTACAGGGAGCCGTTGGGGACGAAGAGCTCGGCTAAGGAGGCATGGGAGGCTATTGCGGCGATGCGCGTCGGTTCCGACCGCGTAAAGAAGGCAACGACCTAGCTTCTGAAGCAGGAATACGCCAACCTCAAGTTCAAGGATGGTGAAATGGTGGAGGACTTCTCCTTCCGCCTACAGACACTCATCAGCAAGCTGAAGAGCCACGGCGTCACCATCGACGAAGAGGAGGCGATCTCTAAGTACCTCCACTCCGTGCCAACAAAGTATATCTAGATCGCTCTCTCCATAGAGACGATGCTGGACTTGTCCACCCTCACCATTGAGGATGTGACAGGCCATCTGCGGGCGGTGAATGAGCGCCTAGAGCAGGCGACAACAATGAAGGATAGTGGAAAACTCCTGTTGACGGAAGAGGAGTGGGTTGCTCGGAGGAACTCCGGGAAGGCAGCCTCCTCCAGCCGCTGTGGCAATGGCAAGCGCCGTGGCAAGGCTTCTTTAGAGAAGAAGCAGGTCGACCCCAACGCCTGTCGGCGTTGTGGGAAGATGGGCCATTGGGCACGAGAGTACCCAAATCGCAAGCAGGAGAAGAAGGCTGAGGCTCACTTGGCGCAAGCCGATGATAAGGATGAGGCCACTATCGTGATGACGACGTTCTGTGCACTGCACGACGTCGAGGCCGAGGAGAAGGTGGAAGTGATGGCGGTGGAAGGACCTAGGAAGGCCCTGAAGACCATCAACCTCGACGAACCACGCACCCAAGTCCACCTCAGACATGTGGGCGCCGACCAGGAGCAGCGGTGGTATCTGGACTCCGGTGCCAGCAACCACATGACGGGCTCCAAGGAAGCCTTCTCCGAGCTCCATGATGATGTTACCGGTATGGTGAAGTTTGGTGATGGGTCAAGGGTGGCAATCCAAGGACATGGCACCATCATCTTCAGGTGCCAGAACGGGGAGCACCGCACGCTAACGGATGCATATTACATCCTGCAGCTGCGCTCGAGCATCATCAACATTGGCCAGTTGGATGAGCATGGTAGCGAGGTACTGATCAAGGACGGTGTCCTTAGGATCAGAGACCGGGAGCAGAGACTTCTAGCCAAGGTGAAGAGGTCCCAGAACCGGTTGTACCTGCTCAACCTGAAGGCATACCGAGGAGCCATGGCTGTGGCATGCTCGGTTCGGACATCTCAGCTTCGACACGCCTGGTCGGCTAGAGAAGATGGTCCGAGGGCTACCCCACATAGCGCACGGAGGCGAGCTATGTGACAGCTGCCTGGCCGGGAAGCAAAGAAGGTTGCCGTTCCCAAAGGTGGCCAAGTATCGCACGAAGGACGCTCTCGAGCTCGTCCATGGCGATCTCTGCAGGCCGATCACGCCAGCCACTGGTAGTGGTCGGTGGTACTTCTTCCTGCTCGTGGATGATTGCAGTCGCTACATGTGGCTGCAACTCCTGACGAGCAAGGACGAAGCGACGGCGATGATCAAGAAGTACAAGACGCGCGTGGAGGCCAAGAGCGACAAGAAGCTCCGCGTGCTAAGGACTGATCGGGGTGGCGAATTCACTTCGGTGGAGTTCGCTATGTACTGCGTGGATCAGGGTGTGGTGCGACATCACACCGCATCGTATTGACCACAGCAGAATGGCGTGGTGGAGTGACGAAACCAGACGGTGGTCGGCATGGCTTGATCCATGATGAAGGCCAAGGGAATGCCGGCAAGGTTCTAGGGAGAGGCGGTGACCACGGCGGTGTTCATCCTCAACCGCGCTCCCAACAAGGCCATGGCGGGCAAGACGCCGTTCGAGGCTTGGTATGGGCGAAAGCCGAGTGTGTCCTTCCTTTGGACATTCGGCTGCATCGGCCACGTCAGGAAGACGAAGCCGAACCTCACCAAACTGGAGGACAGAAGCACACCGATAGTGTTCCTAGGCTACGCGGAGGGTACCAAGGCGTACCGACTCTACGACCCATGCGGAGACAATGTTCTTGTCTCACACGATGTCGTGTTCGACGAGAAGGCCGCTTGGGACTAGAGCAGTCCCAGCATGAGGGAAGCTAGCGGGTTCACCAGCAACTTCGTCGTTGAGCACTTGGTCATCCACGGGAGTGGAGACGCTAGGGAAGAGGTGCCGAGCACTCCAGGAGGAGCGCCGAGCACTCTGGCGGTAGAGCCGAGCACTCCTGAGGCAGTGCCGAGCACTTTGGGAGGGATGCCGAGCACTCTAGGAGGAGAGCCGAGCACTTCCGGAGGGATGCCGAGCATGCCAGGAGTGGTGCTAGAAGGTTCTGCAGTGGTGGCGACCACTCTAGGATGGGTGCCAAACACTCCCGTGGTGGAGCCAAGACGTCTTACAGTGGTACCAACCACTCCAAGACTGAGGCTGGACACTCCTACAGTATGGCCGAACACTGCAGGAGTTATGATGAGTTGTCCAAAAGTAGTGCCGAGCACTGCAACCAGGGTGCCAAGCACTCAAGGTGCTATGCTGAGCACTCAGGCGGAACCTAGAACTCCATCGACGCCGATCGAGTTCGCCTCACCTCCAAGTGACATCACTGAGTTCGTGGACGCCTACCACGAAGGTGAGGAGGTGCGGTTCCGTAGGCTGGACAACATCATCAGCGGCACAGGACCCTCAGGTCTGGCAGGTAGGCTGCTCAATGACCTAGAGCTGCTGCTCATTAGTGCAGAGGAACCACCCACGTTCGCGCTAGCCGAGCGCGATGGAAACTGGCGATGGGCGATGCTGGAGGAGATGAAGGCGATCGAGGAAAACAAGACTTGATAGCTCATCGATCCACCTCTAGGATGCCGTCTGATCAGTCTGAAGTGGGTGTACAAGGTCAAGCGAGATGAGCACGGCGTCATTGTCAAGCACTAGGCATGCCTCGTGGCCCGAGCCTTTGTTCAGTGTGAGGCCATAGACTTCGAGGAGGTCTTTACGCCAGTAGCGCGCATGGAGTCGATCCGTTTGCTACTAGCCTTGGCAGCAGCAAAGGACTGGCGTGTCCATCACATAGACATTAAATCGGCCTTCCTCAACGGCGAGCTGGCGGAAACGGTCTTCGTCAGGCAACCTCCAGGTTTCACCATCAAGGGAGAGGAGCACAGGGTGCTCCGACTGCGCAAGGTGCTCTACGGGCTACGGTAGGCCCCACAAGCATAGAACGCCAAGCTTGACGCCACGCTGGGCGAGCTTGGGTTTTAAAGGTGTGCAACCGAGCACGCGCTCTACACGTGGTGATGGGGGGAGGAGGAGCTCATCGTCGACGTGTATGTGGATGACTTAATCGTCACCGGCGCGCGCACGGAGGACATCAAC